CACAAAACATTGCATTGCCGTGCTGTATCCATTTTTATTTATCTGCTTAATGTTGACGTTGTTCACGTTTTCTTTTTCACATGGAAATCAAATTCTCTTTACTTTGGATCAAGTTAATGTTTATTAATGTTGTTTTCAATGTAATAATAATGTTTCCTGTGCCGGTGTCTCCCTCGTCAGGATCGCTTGTCCTTCCTGACTCCACCCCCTTTTCCTCCTCCTCCTCCCTCGTGGATGTTTGGTGGGAAAGAGTCTGATGGCTCTCCTGGCACTGATTCCACATCCAGCATGTTGATGTTGTGGTACATGTGTGGCTTCCACACGGGCAGCTTCATGGTCAGTAGCAGGTTATTAGACAGTGTCCCGATTCGTTGATGTTGGGCTGTATAAAGGGCGGTACACGCCCTGTGTGCGTCAGCAGAGTATATTATCATGCATCAGTGACAGCTAGCTGCAACCCCTTTTATGGTTTTGAAGTTTATACTTCACTAAAGGTTCCAACGCTCTTTCACCCCCAGCTGTTTCCTGTTGTTCTCGTTATGGGGCCCATGGTCGTATCATGGTTGTAAATCACAAGATGTGTGACTGCCATTTAAACAAAAACAAAACAAGTTGACAATTGTGACAAAAAAAATAATCAATCTTCATCCATCTCTGTTGTCTTCATATGTGAGGTCTGTATCTCTGAAGTACGCAGCACTTGAGAGGTCACGTGTTTTATCCAAACCATGTGACCAGTTGGTTTGATGGTACAGTTGTAATGAACTGCCAGTTAAGGGGAGGTTATAATAAACCTTAAAAAGTTGACCTCTGGTAATATTTTGCATATTAGCAAGCTTCATCCATAAACTGTTTGGCATTAAGTGAGTAACAGACAGTATAATGGTCCATTCACCGAAACACTGGTACAGTTAATCTTCAAAGCTGCGTTAGTTGTCAGATAATCATCAGAAATGCTACAAAGTCACCAGCAGCACAAACATGAAGCCCAGTAGATGCTAGTAGAAAGCATCATTTATTAAATGAATTATAGAATGTAGAGGTTTATTAAAAAACAGTAAATGATACTGATTGCATTGAAATGTAACAGAGTAGTGAACACTGTAAGAGCTGGGGGTGAGACGAGGCTTTTCCAGAAACACTCAGGACTTTGTGTCATTAAATCAATTTTTTGTAGCACAGTTATAAATATAAGAATGTGACACTTGCTTTTGAACTTATGTGTCGTGAATTTGTTTCAGGCTCAGCAGATGTTCAAGCCGACCTCCAGAGACTGAGGTGAGAATCCACACTGAACATGTGCGCAGACTCAGACAGGCAGGAATAGAATATGTTGATAATGCGCTTCACACAAAGGCATCACATCACAGGAAAACATGTCAGTGTATATATAAAAACGTTTTTTAGGGTATATTTATGCCATGGAGTGTATGCATAGCTTCATAGAGTAGTGGTTTACACTTTTGTAACGTGAAAGATCTCCAGTTTGAGACCAGCGGGAGAGACAAATTCCTGAGATTCCTGAGAAGAAAAACGTGTAATTTCAACAGCATGTCTCAGTTTTTCCACGTGATAAATGTGGAAAATGACACAAATAGCTCTGGTAGCTCATAGCCCAGACTGTCCTCTATTTATAAAACATAGTTTTTGCTAATTCCTTACACCTCTGCCACAAAATAATTTTATTTTGCTTTATTATATTTGTTTTCTATAACCAAAACTTCTATCTGGTCTTTAAGCGATGACCTGATGAACCCTTTCAGGTCCAAACTGCTCTGTGTTTATTAAGGCTG